TCTCTCTCTCTCTCTCTCTCTCTCTCTCTCTCTCTCTATTATCTATCTCTCACTTTATGATTCTGGTCTTCTCTCTACACAGTCTTCTTCTTCTCTCACATGCGCACTCCCTACTACTAACACACACATGAGGATCAACTCTGAGTACCACCCACTGCTCTACTACTACTAACTACCGCTATATTGCTTCCTAGTGCTGGCGCAGCTATGGCTGCCTTCTTCTCTGCCAGCATCTACTTCCTCCCTCTCATCTTGCTCAGCGCTGCTCTCTGGCATAGTGCAGCTCTCACACTAGCGCACAAGTGCACAAGCACTTCCACACTCTTGTGCGAATGAGCATCTGCCTGAATGGTAGGCTGGCCAGTCCTTTTGTAGTCTTGGATGCACTTCAACTCGTGCCAGCCTCTGTTTCCTGGGGCCTGACTGGTTCCAGTGCCACTTCCTCACGGCCTGTCTGCTTCTGAATGTCAAGGCCTGGAACCTTCCCGCATTTCCATGGGTCTGCTGCTGCTTGGACCTTTGGGTTATGACTTTTCATTCGAGAACATGACTTTTGAGTCTTGACTGTGGATAGTGACTCCTGCCTGTGGGTCACGACTTTTGCCTGTGATACTGCCTTTACTCGTGGGATGTGACTCTTCAATATGATTTTTCATTAGGAAACGTGACTCCTGTCCCTGAGATGTGACTATTTGCTGGGTGCCTGTTGGACCAAACTGTTGAGGTACCCGATTGTGACTTTTCTGAGTTTGACAGACTCGGCCTTTTCTTGAACTGGGCATATGACCCTGAGATCCGAATTTGGGGTCTGAATCGTGGAAGGCCTTTCAGAATTTAAAAGGCCATAACTCAAAAGTTCAAAACTTGATAAAGCGAGGCCTATACACACATTACACAGGCTGATTTGCACCTACCATGATTATGGAATCTGGATGGTTGGATCAGACGAATTAAAAAGGCCATAAGCCAGGGGAGGCTATGGTTTGGGTGGTGGGATGGCCTGTAGCAGTCCCCCCCTTGATAGGTGACTACCGTCTTCCCCCAAACATAACGCACCCTGAAAGTGAACATATGCAAGTTACATTTCCGGTCCGGTACGGCCAAGATGAGGGTGCGTTGTGTTCGGGGGAACACGGTAGTACCGGAAGGGCTTGGCTGCTTTCTATCCCTGCAACTATCTTGCTTGAACTCATGCTTGCTTGCCGTTGATAAGCAACCAGACTGATGCTCCCCAGAATATATAGATGGGGTCTCGAGTGCTCAAAAAAAAAAAAAAAAAAAAAAAAACCTTCATAAAGTGAGGCATTGAAATCAGTCTTGCAAATTCACACTCAA